CTCTTTGTCCGCCTTCATGGGAGTGATGGGATGGTGCCCACGGGGAGGGGGGGGGGTGGCTTTCAATCCCAACCCGTTGGTACCCTTTCGCATTCTTTTGAATGTCATCAAGAGGAACGGTGGGCTCTCTCCACACCTCCCCGCTCTAGGGTTCTTTTCTGGTTCAGGCAGGGCAGCAAGGGTTAGCGAATGCACTCCCCTCATATCCCTGAAGTGCCGACTCGCCCTGCCTTCAGATCTTTCCAGTAGTAGGATAGAAGTAGATCCTGGATAAAGTTCATTACTGTAACCCAAAAGAATTTAATCCTCTGTTTGAGTTATTTAATGAAAGTCTTTATCTCCCGTCTCTTTAATGTTTTATTGTTAGATCAGGGATAAGGCCCATTGTTGTAACCCAAAAGAATGTAACTTTCTATTTGAGCTATTTAATGGAAAAACCTTTACCTCCTGTCATTTAATATTATTGTGTTGTACGTGCCGCCATCTGCATAAAGTAGAAGTCTATATTCATTTAACTCCTTACCTTCCAAGGATGACGTCTTTCCCAAAGCACAGACGGGCCAAATTAACTGGCCCATGCACTTAAGTGGCGAAAACCCCTGGTCAAACATTGGGAATCTTCGACCGCTTCATTCGCCAATCGCTTAGTCTTTCACGTCTTTTAACCACATTCATTACTTCCTAACTATCTCTTCCCCTTTCACTATAAACGGGAAAGGATGGTTTGCTTCTAGTTCATCCCTTTCTGATTTCTTCGCCAGGGCAAGTAAATCTCAGAGTAAAGTCGTCATCGACTTAACCCATTCTGGGACATCTTTTTCTTCAGATGACGATTTCTCCACCTCTCCGGCTCAATCCAACGACATGGCTGGGTTGAGTCCTGGCGAGTTCTCAAGACGTTATCCAGCACCTCGTCTTCCTGCACCATCTCCTCCTAGTCCACCTATGACCCTCCAAGACTTCGCCTTTACCCAGAGGATGAACAGGGCTAAACTCGGGCATTCTTTTCCGATTGTCAAGGCGGAACCTTCACGTGAAAGCCGGACTGCTTCTCCAAACTTGTTGAAGTCTTTCAATGATGGTTCTTCATTGGGAGCACCAGCTCCCCGTCCTGGGAAGTGGGAAGATTATGACATAGAGGAAGCTGCTGATTCCTCAGCGTGCCCCTCGTCGAAGAGAAGGAGCCCATGGAAGGGGCCCCCACCTCCTTCTTGTTGACTGCATGGATGCAATAGGCACTCCTTCAGTGCCTAGCCCCTTGCAAATTAAATTTCTTTTCCTTGTTTTATTTCAAGAGGTATTCACTTGTTTGGTCTAGGAGTTTTTCCTGCGTCCCAAACTAAGGAATGTCCCTTAATTTCAGACTAGGAATTATCGTTGTAATTCAAGGATACAACCTCCAAATTAGCAATTGATGAACTTCCTCATTTTCTGTTTTTTATCTCATTAGGAACCATTATTGTGAACCAAAAATGTAAACTTTGGCCCATCAATGTAGTCCTTAATGTTTATTTCTTTGCACTTTTTCTAATGCAAGTACATATTTCATTCTCTATATAAAATCTCATCTCCCGGGGTTTAAACGTGCCATGGGAGCTTACCTCATCTGTCCCTGACCTCCTTTCCTCCGGGTTAGGCATAATCTTATCTACCTTAGATCAGTTGAGCTCCAACCCTCGAAGTTTGTTTGCTCAGTTGATCTGTGCTGGTGGAATACTAAGCTTCAGCCCTCGAAGTCTGTTTGCTGTTCTTCCCGAATTCCAGGTTGTAAAGGCCCTCAAAGTCCAATCCCAACCCTTCCTTCATTTTTGACAGAAGCATAAACTTATCTACCTCCGGGGGGCATAAACTTATCTATCTCCCCTATTTTTAGCAGATGGCATAATTTTATCTACCTCCCTGTAAGGTGGGTCTACATCGCCCGGGGGTGCTCCCCCCCCTTTTTTGAAGAAATCTATAGAACAATGGAAATGCAAAGGCACTTAGCTTTAAAGGAAATAAAATTTTATTGAAACAAACATCTTAAATCCGAAAATAGAGCGCTTTAGAAAATGATTTTACTGATAAAATTTGACCAAGTGCTCTATATTCCACATCCTATCAATTTCTTTTCCCTTTGGAGTCACCAAATTGTAGGTACCTGGGCGAACAACGGCCTTGATGATATAAGGTCCTTCATATTTCTTAGCCAGCTTCCCACCCTTAGTTGGTTGACTCTTCTCTCGCTTCCTTAGGACGTAATCCCCCACTTGGAATGCCCTCGGTTTCACCCTATTGTCAAAGTATGATTTCACATGCCGACGATAATTCTCTACCCGGATCCGTGCTTCATCCCTCCGTTTCTCTACGAAGTTTAGCTCTATGGCTTGGTTTTTTTCGTTCACTTCCGGGTCATATTCTATCTCTCTCCTGGTAGGGATCACTGCCTCAACGGGAGCCCGGGCTTCAAAACCATAAGCTAAGCCAAAAGGAGTGTCACCCGTAGCCCTCCTTGGAGTTGTTTTGTATGTCCACGGGATTCTGGGTAGTTCATCCACCCATTTGCTTCCTTCTTAAAGCATCTTCTTTTTTATATTCCACTTATGATTGTCCTGTTAACGTTCTCCACTTGTCCATTAGCCTGAGGCTAGGCGACAAATACTTTTGTATGCTGAATTCCCCAAGTTTTGAGGAAGTCTTGGAACTTTGCTTCCTCAAACTGGGTTCCATTGTCAGATATGATCTCCTTCGGGACTCCAAACCTACAAAGTATGTTGGTTCCCACGAAGTCGATCATTTGTCTTCCAGTTATCCCAGTAAGTGGTTCAGCTTCCACCCACTTGGTAAAGTAGTCAATGGCCACCACTATCCACCTTGCCTGTCCAACTCCTTTTGGCAGGGCTCCCACAATATCAATCCCCCATCTTGAGAAGGGAATCACAGAGCTGATGGGTGTGTAGTTTGTGGCGGGCCTCCCGAGCATATTCTGGAATTGTTGGCAAGTTGGGCACTAGCGCACATATTCTTTGCAATCCTTCCTCATCGTTGGCGAGAAATATCCATGGATAATCGCCCTTCTAGAGATAGAGTACGGGCCCTGATGTGCAGCACATACTCCTTCGTGCATCTCTTCCATTAGTGCCTTCGCCTCCGCTGCCCTGTGGCAGCGGAGTAAAACACCATTATAAGATTGCTTGTAGAGGACCCCATCCTGCACCTTGTAGGTGGGTGCCCTCATTCGCAGCAAATGCGCTTTTCGGGGATCCTCCGGGGCCACACCGTCCTCAATGTATCTTGCCAACCTGTCCAACCATTCTGGGGGATCAGCTGATACCCTAAACACTTCATCTCTGTTAAGACTTGGGGTTGCCAGCTCCTCGACAGTTGCTAATTTTCTTATGTACTCTGGTGATTCCGCGCTAAGCTTGGATAGAAAATCAGCTTCCGCGTTCTGCGCTCGGGGTATGTGTTCAAGCTTAAACTCGAACCTCCCCAATATCTCCAAGGACAAGTCTCAATACCTCTTCATCCTTTCTTCCTTTGCTTGAAACTCCCCACTGATTTGTCCCACAACCAAGCTGGAGTCGCTGTATACCTAGACCCTGGACACTCCCAACTTGCCGAGAATTCTTAGTCCATTGATCAGGGCCTAAAATTCGGCTTCATTGTTAGATACACGGAACTAAAATCTGATGGCGTAATATATCCGGAAATTTTCCGGAGTGATCAAGACAATACCTTCTCCGTAGGATCGAGACCCAAAAGATCCGTCAATACTCATTACCCAGCAGTCGTCCTCTACCCGGGTATCGGCCTGTGCTCTTGTCATCTCCCTGGCAGTACACTCGACTTCAAAGTCATCGAGTGCTTGCCCCTTGATTAACGGGCGTGACCTGAACTCCACATTATACTGACTAATGAAGACCGCCCACTTGGTCATCCGAGCAGATGCTGCCGGGCTCCGGGTAAGTGACGCCAAAGGCTCATTAGTGAGCACAACAATCCGGTGAGCCTGAAAGTACGGGGTTAATCTCTTCGCCATCCAAAAGACCGCTAACATGGCCTTTTCCGGACGGGAATACCTTAACTTCGCATCTCTCAAGGTCTTGTTGACGTAGTAGACCGGATGTTGGGCTCCATTCTCTTCCCTCACAATCACAGAAATGATGGCACAATCTGCAATTGCCAAGTATAAAGTTAGGACGTCCCCAAGTTCCGGCTTGGATAAAATCGGGGGACTCGCCAGATATCTCTTCAATCCTTCAAATGCTTCTTGACATTCCTGCGTCCATTCGAAGGTTGCCCTCTTCTTGATTACACTAAAGAATGGGTGCGCCTTCTCTACTAGCTTTGAAAGGAAACGATTCAAAGCCGCCAATCTCCTTGTCAGTCGCTGAACTTCCTTTGCTGTCTTCGGGGGTTCCATCTCCATGATGGCCCTAA